GTTAGGCGTTGGAGGGCGAATTGTAGGCAGAAAGGGAAAGGTAAAAAATGGAAAATAAAAATATACTATGTTGAACGAGGCCTAGTCTCAAGGTGGGAGTACATGTAATGAAAACAAACATTTCTTAAAGATAGTTTTTACCATAGAAAAGAATTTTAGAATAAAAGGAGAGCAACCCGAGTAGAAATATTAAGGAAATGTTGTCCACATAAGAAATTCAAAAAATCAAAAATTTGTATGCCCTTAGACGTAGACTTTAGAAATAAAAATTAAATTTCAAAAAATAAAGAAAAATATATGCCCTTAGACGAAGACCTTAGGAATAAAATTAAAATTAGTATTGAACTAATACAAGAATTAGAAGATCAAATATTTAGATATCAGTTTCTTTTATCATTAGCCTCTAACAGATCTCTAGAAAATTACAGTTTAAAAAATCAGTTTCTTTTATCATTAGCGTCTGGCAGATCCCTAGAAAATTATAGTTTAAAAATTTCTCAAATAAATAGACAACTAACTGTAAAACAAGAAGCCTTAAAAATAGCTATACAACAGCTTGAAGATCTATAACTGTAGAATTAGTCAGATAATTCTCAGCCCAATTGTAGAATTAATTAGATAATTCTCAACCCAATTTCAAAATAGTGGTAGACCATTAACTCATCATCCCTCTAAAAATTGGTATCAGAGCAGTGTTCGGTTTTGGGACAGTTCAAGTTAGTTTATGCATTTTACTTATGGTAATAGAGTAGTTTTTATTTTTGGACAATTTAGTTATAAATTTCATATTATAGTAGTTTTTAATAATTTTAAAGTAGGATTTAATTTTGTGTATGAAAAGAGTAGAATATTTAGATTTAGAACTCAGTAGCCATAACCATCGCCTTAATATAAATAAAAATAAATTTCGTTATAATTTTGAAGATACCTTTACACATCAACTTCATAGTAAACATAATCCTCAGCTAAATAGTATTATAGATTATCAGATTAATTTTGCAGAAAATATTAAAAAGGACATAGATAAAATTAGTAATCTTTTTATTTCCTCCATAGATCATCTCCGTAATAATCGTAGTATAATTAAAGATCAAGATAAAAAATTAGATTATATCCAAGACCAGTGTAGTTTAATTTTACAAAAACGAATATTTAAATTTAGAAAAATTTTCTACTAAGCTAGAAATAGAAACTTTAATTTCAGCTATAAATACAAGTAGCTCAAAACAAATAAAGCTAAAATTCAAACAACTAATTGAACAAACTCATAGTCAGATAAATCAAATAGCTAAACAAATAGAACAAATCAACCAAATTCAAGATAATTTAAAACAAAAATTAGAAATCTTAAAACAATTAATAAGATCTTAGTTTATGAGTAGTGATAAAAAGGCTAATAGAGATTACCAGACTATTTTAAAACAAGCAGAAGATTTTCATAATAACCCAGAAGGAATCAGTAGCTACCAAGGAATAAATCAGTCAGATAAAATATCAGTAAGATAAAATAATATAGAAATTTTATTTCTAATCAGATTGTGTGAAAAATTTGAAGAACTATCAGAACAATTACACAGTGTAGAAAATCGTTTAGCTTCTTTAGAAAGAATAATACTTCAAAAAGGAAAAGGAGTAGAAGGACAAACCAACAGACCCCAATCTCAGATAAACGAAGAATATATAGCTAGATATTTCGAAAAGCTTAAATTACCAAAAAAACCTGTTTGTAGAACTTACAGAAAATAAAGATGTTTAAACAGCTAGTAAAAAGAAGTAGTAGCAAAAAGCGTAATGAAGATGAAGATATTAAAATGGAAGAATTCATAGACATAGAACAATAGATAGAAAAATTTAAGAATGAAAAACTAGAATTAATTCCAGCTAAATATGCATATAATCTAGGTAAAGTTCATAAAAAAACAAAATATGTTTAAACACTATGGTGAACAAATGATTAGTGTAGCCCATGAAGACGAAAAAATAGAGCTAAACTTAACAGACAAAGAAAGCTATAAATATGCAGTAAATGAACACCTTAAAATGACCCACTTAGGATTAATTGTAGTAGGAGTTAAAGCTTTAACCAGAGAAAATTTAGGAACTAAAGTTTTTGTATGTTTTTATGATGATAGGTTTAATGATGTAGGACAAAGTATTTTAGGCAGTTATGAATTAGATATGAATTCAGAAGGAGGAATAGTTTATTTTACACCAGATTTCCTATTGCCAACCTCGACCTTTCATAAAAAGATAAAAATAGGAATAAAAAGTAAGGGATACAAAATGAAAAAAAAAAAGAAAAGAATTTATTAATTTGCACAGGATTTTTAGGCTTGGCAGTCTCAAAAAGTAATACTCACTATAGACTTACAAATGATCAGATAGTTAAATTATTAGGCGCAAAAGGAATAAAGACACTACCAGCTAAAAAATTTAATTCTAAAGATAATGCAGCACTAGATTGGAACTTAGTAGACTTTCTAGGACAAAAAAGGTTAGCCCCTCAAGATAACTTATTATATCAAAGAGCATATGGAAATTATGCAGTAAGATTCACTCAATATACGTATGTAGCACCAGAAAAATCTGAAGATGATGAATTTAGTAGTATAGATAGGGAAGAAAATCAAGATAATTGTAGTGACATAAATCTGCTTTATGTAATGACAGAGAAAAAAACAATATCACCAAATAAGATATATAATATTGATGATATAGATTTAGAAAATTTCACCCTAACCGATATGAATAAAATATTAGATACGAGATATTATGAATATTTAGCTAGAGGAGATACCCATGATGAAGCAGTGTCATTTTTAGACCAAGAATTTCATACTAAATATGTAGATAATATCATAGAAGATAAAATACATCCTAGCAAGATATTTAAAATGCCAAAACAATCCAATTTAGAAGATACTTTTTATATGAACACGGAAAGCACGGGAACTAATAACCCACAACTAACTGTAGAAGATCCCGTAGAACCAATGCATTATGCAGTAGGAGGAAGAAGACCATTAGCTAGTTCAGGATGCAGTAAAGCATATCCAAATAAAAGCTATAGATTTCATGGAAAGCGTAGACAACCAGATATGAGTATACAATTACAGCCAGTCAATAATCAAGGAACCCTTTTAGATTTAGCCAGATTCGACCCTCAGATATGGCAGGAAGTGATAGAAAAATGGGAAAAAGATGCGATAAAGGCATAGATGAGTAATCCTTTTGAATCAACGGATATGTGGGAATATATGGAAACACTTTTAGGAGATTGAACTTATAATAGTTATCTAACTTTTAAAGGAAGGTATGAGGAGACAATCAAACAGCTTAAAGAATTAGGAGATAAACCATGGAATTTTCCTAGTTTTATAAAAGAAATACTTATAGGATATGACCCTTCTAGAAGAAATGATTCCGCTCAAATCATAGCATTAACTGAGTTAGATCAAATAACGTTAGGAAATTGGAAATATATTGTACCCTTTAGTAAAGAATACTTAGCCATAGCAGCTAGAACTGGAAAAAGTTTTGATGAAGAAATAGGAAATAAATATTTTAGAAAACTACCCGGAGAGCTAGGAAGATAGATAGAAAATAAATGGTCAGTTTATTATGCAAGTTTACCAGCTAAAATAGCCTCAGGAGAAGTAAAAATAAGAGGAACTTTAGGAATAGGACCTAGAATAGTTTATACGTTTTTCAAGCTCAGAGAAAAATGTATAGAGGTTAAAATACAGAAAGATTTGAAAAAATAAAATTATGATTTTTGTAGCTAATAAACAGATAGAAAGACTACATATTATAGAAAACTTAGAAGAAGATATAGTTAGCATAACTAGTGATGATTCAGAAGTATATAGTATAGTTAGCGATTATGAATATCAAATAGAAGCCATAAGTTCAGATAGTGACTCAGAAAGCGATACTAATATAGATAATCTTTTAGGACAACTCAACCAAGAAATAGGACTAAACCCGTCCCAAGAAACTTTCTTTATGATGGAATGCAATGCAGATACTGAATGTCAGCATAACTTTCAAATAGGATTAGGATTTGATACCACTAGATGCAGCTATTGTAATTGGTTTCCAGCTAAAGATAAACGAGCTCAATGTTCCAGCTAAAGATAAACGAGCTCAATGTTTATTATGTAGTATAACCTATTGTGTAGTCTGTCTAGAAAAATTAAATATGACACATAAGATAGCATTAGGAAATACTAAAGAAGATCATAGTCTAGAAAGCAAAGAATTACATTTAACAATTAGAGAATTAGAACTACAAGTAAGAGAACTTAAGATACAAATACACGAGATAGAAACTAAGACTAGTTTTGACATAGAATATTTAGAATCAGAAAATAGACAGCTTAAACAGCAGCTAGAACAATTTCACAATAAGGCCAAGTTTGGGAAGACTAAAAAAGTGCACTTTTTGTCTTTTTGGACTAAAAAATTGAGGTTGAAAATATGGATGTTTGGGTTAACTTTTTGACTTTTTATTGAAAAATGTGTAATAAAAAATTGTAAAAATTGATTTGTAGAGAAAAATTTGAATTGGGAGTTGTGCAGCCGTAATTGTTGACTTTTGGTGAATAGTGTTAACTTTTTAACTTTTTGAGTAACTTTTTGACTTTTTGACTTATTTGGGACTTCCCAAACTTAGCCTAAGTACCCTTTAAAAGACAAACTGATTGAAGAACATATGAATTCATTAGAATTAGTCAACCTAGTTGATTCTCAACCCTTTAGTCAATATTCTAAAGCTATATTAAATTCAATAATATTAAATTAAATTCAATAATTATATTATATTAAATTCTAAAAATATATATTAAATTATATTATGTTAAGTAGACAAAAAGGTAAATTAAATTTTTTACATCATATCTCAATCAAGGAGATATGATATAATAGGAGTGTTATATATCCTTCACTTTTAAGAAATATATAATCCCACCAAATATTATATCGCCTTCCAAAAAAAAAAAATTACAAACATTCGATAGATGAACCTCACCCCGAATATAATATCCAATCACAATCTTCATTTCCCCCAATTAAACAGGGCCTAAGTTCTGAAAGAGGCTGGCAATTGGAGGCAGTCAACGAAGAGTCACGAGTGAAGCTTCAGCATCGGATCGGAGGTCGTTCGAAGTACCGTTGTCGCACTGCAGCACCATCGTCGGAGGTAAGAGTGCTTTGCCTACCTTCTGATTCCCTATTAGCTTCATTTTTTTCACTCTTTGTTGTTGTTGCCTCCATTAGTTTCTTTCTCCATGTTTTCCCCTTTCCTTCTCTTTATATTGCCATTCCTTCTACCTTTTTTGATGGTGTTTCTACTAGGCCATGAGTGATTAGAGAAAGGGTAATGTCATTTTAGGGTTTGTTTCAATGAAAGCAAGAATCAACTATACATTTTTAAAATCTCCCTCTTATTATTAGTTTATACATATATATATATTGGTTAACAAAGATGAAAGAAGCGAAAATAGACAAACCCAGAAATAAAAATAGAGTTTTTTAGAGAGATTTTTGTGGGTCTCTTTTCACTAAAGAAATTTTACAGAGTTTTGATGAGCAAAAAAATGCTTTACCTCGTATTATTAATTATTGAAATTCATATATGTTGTGCTTTTGTATGTTTAAATTGTGAATTTTAGTGGCACTCACCACCTGTTTGGTAAAATGTCTATTATGTCTTGTACTTGTTAAACCTGTAATCTGAGTAGGAGGGTAATGGTATGTTTGGTTTTAAGGGTTTGTTTGGGCTAATGGATCATATATTTTGTCATTTGCATGTATTCTTTTCTGAATTCCGAGCAACATCTTGATTAATTCCTTTCCTTCATTTTAATCATGTCTTTCTAAAAATTTTAAAATTTATTAGGCTCTGGCAAAAAGATGATCTTCTAGGCTCTTATTGGGCACATATTCATATATCAATAGACATTGTATCCCTCTTTTCCCATCCACAGAACAGTATCCTAGAAGTTTTAGAAGCTTAGGGTGATCGAGAACACCGAGAAATTGAACTTCAGCAAGCCATTGTTTACACCGTATGTACGGGAAAGAAATAAACATTCTCGTATAATCCTGTTGATCAAGTCTGCGCTCCTCCGTACGTCGTCGTTTTACCCCCTGAAAACACAAACGTGAGCTAGCCGGCGGGTGTGTGCCGGGTACCTCTCCGATGCCTAAGTTAGAAAAATAGACAATGACAAAAAGCTCTGTGTATCAAAGTTGTGTGTTACCTCTCCAAAGGTGATATTTGTGAGCTTTTATAGGTTTCGTGTGGCATAATCCAAGTAGGACTTTTACTTCTCCATGGAGAGCCCTCCTAGGATTCATACTCCTGAAGGATAATGCTTATCTTTCAATGATTAAGAGTACAAGCATGGTCTCGTTGAAAATTTTATAAATGGTTCAATGGAATTATTTTTGGTTGGATATATCATGTGGTCTCTCTGGCTGGGGGAAAACATTCATCATTGAGGGATGATTCATTTCCCATGCCCAATGTAGACCATGTTGCTGGTTATCCAAATTTCTCATTATTTAGGTGCGTGTTGCTGAAAATTTAATTAAAGTTGAGCTGTTGTGTACAGTCTTCCATCATTTGTGTCTGCCTTTTTCTATTTTCTATTTATTCTTCATTCATCATTTGTACTTTAGGATTTGTGTATGTCAAGAATTAGTGTTAACTTTTTTTTTTCCTTTAAAAAAATAAAATTAAAAATTAAGTGTAAAGCAATAACTCTAGTAGCATGAATATTTTGTTGTTGCATCTCCTCTATCTTCATTGCCACTTGTGCCTGTATATCATGGTGAAGAACAAGATATTGACCTTAGGAAGTCTGAAACAGACAAGATTGGATATCCTATTTTGATAAAGCCAACTCATAGAGGTGGAGGGAAGGTGTGACGATTGTTGAGTTCCCTCCGAACATTTTTCTGATACTCTCTTGAATATGGGAGGCCATCAAGTAATATGTCGTATGCACTGTAGATTAGAACAAGCCTGGGTATGACAAAGCAGGAGTAGTATATAAACTATGGGAAAATAGAACAGAAAAAACAATTGTAAGGCTTTGCTGCAGTCTATAGTAATTTATTTTTTCCCCCTTTTACAGTCAGCTCCTCTTCGATGCTTGTTTTCTAGCTTCAACTAAGTTACACCTACCCTATCAAAGTAAACATTTCATGCAATATTTGTATATTCATGTTTCCTCCATTCTTTATTAATATTATATAGTGCAACTTTTGTTCAAACCTCTAACAACATGCTTAGCGAAGCTCATAATAGGAGTGTCCTTGTTATATGGACATCAATTATGTTTGAGATGAAATTCTCAAGATATGTGTCATTCTCAGGGTATGAGGATTGTGCAAAGTTTAAATGAATTTGTTGACTCATTCTTGGGGGCACAACATGAGGCTACTGTTTCTTTTGGCATAAATACAATCTTGCTAGAGAAATATATCACACAGCCAAGACACATTGAAGTCCAGATACTCTTATTTTTACACGTCTCTTCTTTCTATTCATCCATACTAAAGTAATGTTATCTGTCAAATTCAGCATGTCCTATATCATACCCAGTTTCCTTAATTTTATTTATTTATTTATATTTGGGTTTAAAATCTGTAGATGATGCATTGATACTTTTATTTAATGGCATTATAAGAAACATATGTCTATAAGACTTATGTACCGATTCATTGAGTGTTCCTGAATTTGCTTAATGTTATAGGTGTTTGGGGACAAACATGGCAACATCTTACATTTATACGAAAGAGACTGCAGTATGCAGAGAAGACATCAGAAAATAATTGAAGAAGCTTCAGCTGTATGCAACTCTATCTATATTTTAAGTTTAGGTTTCTTGATGTAGATGCCTATACTTTTGACAGAAACACTGTTTTTCCAGCCAAATGTCCTGAATGACATTCGCACTCATGTGGGTCATGCTGATGTATGTGCGGCCAAGGTCTGAATGAGCATTCTTGTCAAGGCAATCAGTATTTTATTATCTCATCTCTCATATTTATGAACTTGATATATCTTAATTTTTATGAAAATGATGATTGTTCTCCAGAACTTAAGACATTTTCTTCAAACTATGTGTGAAAATTTTAGATGCTAAATTGCTATGCTGCTGATCTAATGGTCATGCTTATGCCACAAATTTCATAGTTTCATTTGAACTTTGCCCTCGAGTGTTGTCATAGTTGATGGACAACGATTGGGGCCAGAATAATGGAAAGTTCATATTACGAAGGTGATAAAGCCTCGTCAAAATTTGGTGAAAGGTCATCAAGGTGTCAAAACAATTGGAGATGCACTTCACAAATGTGTAGCTTGGCCTTCAGTTGATGTAATGCACATTCACTAATACTATATTTATTATATTTTTAAATCTTAGTGGTAGTTAAATTTATATCTTTTTATACATGTGCAGATTGAGGATCCACTTGCAGACTATAGATTGAGGGGAGTTAGATAGACCATGTAGATAATGCACATGCTTTTTGGAACTCTTATTTTGGCGCTTGTGTTTTTAGACAAATATTTTGGAACTAGTTGCTACATTTGCAGATTGAAGGGAGCTAAATGGACCACGTTGATGATACACATGCTTTTTGGGACTTTTTATTTTGGCACTTGTGTTTTGAGACAAACATTTTGGAACTAGTTGCTGTATTTGTAGATTGAGGGAGCTAAATGGACCATGTAAATGATGCACATGCTTTTTGGGACTTTTATTTTGGCACTTGCGTTTTGAGACAAATATTTTGGAACTAATTGCTATAAGTGAAATGTATTTTGGAACTAATTGCTACGTGTTTCATGTATTTTGGAACTTTGCTACATGTGACTTGTATTTTGGAATAGATTTTGAATACTGAATATGGTGTGTGGGTTTCTATGGATATAATATTGAATGTATGGAAGCTTTAATCGGTTATACACTTCTATTGAATGACTTTCATTGAGTGTATTAACAGGTATTGAATATAAATGTATAAACAAAATTAGTTTAGCAAATGGTTCACAATTACTTGCGGTTTAATTTCATCACTAATAGAAAGTCACATTTAATTTTACAATATATTTAACGGCAGTTATTTACTGTCGTCAATTGTTGACATCTTTTGCGGTGGTATTATACAATCATCTTTCCCTTGAAAAAACCGTCGTTAAAGGAACTACATTTACGACAGTTCTACAAAAAATGATGCTAATTTCTATAGACTTCAAATTCTTTATGTGGCTGTTAATAACCGTCATAGATACCGCCATTATTCTTAACGGCGGTAATAGTACTGTCTTTATATTATTCCCGACACTTGTATAGATGAAGGTTTCAACTTTTGCCATCTTACCGCTGTTAAAAGCATTTGTGACGGTTATATACCAATTAACGACGGTTTGTTACCGCCGTTAAAGGCAAACTTTGGTGTAGTGATTGTTTAAAATTGAAATATAATCACAAATTAATATCTCTAAATTCAATAATAAGTTTAAGGATTAAGCCCATCTTTGTTCTTTTTGTGAATCCAATACAAGGAGTTCTGCCATTGTGGCTGTCCACCATTTGAATGATGTCAACAGTTGTTCTTTTTATGATTACATTGCTATGCAGTCTCACTCTAAGCTTGAAATTTTGCTCTACCTCTTTTAGCAGTGTTGTTAGCATTCATATTTCTTATTTCACAAGGATTGAAACTTTCATTAACTATGGTGAAATGTTTTTGGTGTCAAAGATGGAGTTTGACATCAAAAATTTATATTTATGCCATAAATTTTATGGATCTATATGTTATCATAAATCTTTAGATGGGTTGTATGTATCCAGTATGGGTACGGGTACAGCTACATGCGTATTGGGTACACAAAATACATATTTGAAACTTTACTATTTAAAAAATTGAATGTTTGTACAACATGGGTACGTGTTGGGTACTTTTGTGGGTACGCCAGGGCGTAAATATTTTTTTTTGTTTAAATCTCAGGGTACTAAAATAAATATATTGTGTATTTTTTAGCCAAACTATACATTTCAATAGATCAATGTCCACAAAATTCAATATTTTTGCTAATAATCAATTTGAATGATTCTTCAAACATAATATTTTCCTAGCAAACATAATTAATGACAAAGGAACTTGAACATAATAATGAACACCTATTACATCCATTAATTATTTTCAAATAATATAGTCGTGTTAATCTTGACTAATTGTTCAAGTAGTCCTTCATTCAGTCAGTTGAGCAAAATTTGAACTCTTCCATGGTTATCCACACAACTATTCACAAAAGGCAATGAAGTTGCCACAACACATAAACAATGAAAATTTTCCTTTGTAGAACTATATTGATAATGATAACAATAACAAAACTTCAATAGCAGTTATAACACATCATCTAACACATCCAAGTAGTGGACCTACCAAGTCTAGAGCAACTAGAGCAACATAGATTCAAACACAAAACATTAAATAACACAATCAATCAAGGCTCAAATGGTCTTCCAAAACACATAATCTCATAAATTACACCTAAACAAAAAATGAATTCTTTCTTCAAAGGAAATGAGATTGCATGAAGATGGGTTTTTTACTTAATCATACAAAAAATTCATGTCCTCTGCTTGAAAACCCTAAATTTGGAAATTTCCTCTCAGCACAGACAAATTGCAGATTATAACAGTAAAAGTACGGGCTTTGGGCAATTATGAACTAAATACATACCAGTTTGTAATCGAGCTCAAATACATCTAGGGTTTCGTCGTCAGAGCAGGGGGTTGGGCGTTATCGACCAGAGAGAAAGGTGTTGGACTTACTTGGAGGTGGTGATGGTCAGTGGCGATGACTGGAGAGAGGCAGAGCGTAATTTCTCAAAATGTTTAGGACTGAAGAAAAGGTCTAGGGATTTGTCAACAAAAATTAGGAGGGAATTTTGATTTGGACAAAATTTCGGGTGTTTGTTCCAAATTTTTGACAATTATTTGGGAGATTATGATAAAATTGATAATTTTTTTAATAACAATTAAAAAAAATCATGATTTGAGTGTTATAATAAAATAAATTATTAATTTAAATCCTAAATTTTTTATTTGCTTTTAATATAAAGTATTCATCTATTTTTGTGTATTGTAGTCATTAACCACAAAATTTATAACCACCACTAATTGATGTAACAAAAATATCTAAATTTTTTAAAACCTACAAATATCGTAATCAAGTTACAAAATTTCATAACATAAAACACAAAATACGTAACTATATCACTAATTGGCGTAACAAAATTATTCAAAATTATTAGAAATCAAAAACGTCGTAATTAAGTCACAAACTTTCGTAACATCAACCACAATAGTGTTGAAATAGACAGAGAGAGTAGCGACAAACTCAGGGATCTGGTGTAGAGACACAGGAGTAGAGAGAGGCGATTGAGGTTAAGAGAGTAAGAATTGAACGAGAAAGAACTACCAGCATTGATCGTTCAATAATTTGAACGAAATAGAGGAATATGAGTGAGAAATAAAGAGAGTTGAGGCATAATTAGGACAAATTGAGAGAAAGAAAATATAATAGAAAAAGAAAAAGAGGAATACTTGGGATATGTGTCATCTCAAACTCGGCCTAACATCAAGACTAATTTAACCATCCCAAGCCCGACCCTAAAACAATTCAAATTCCAAACCCGACCACTTAATCCAATAAATACAAACTATTAATTCTTTTTTTATTTTCTTGAATGTATAGTAATTTATTTAAATCTTTTTATATATCATTGAATTTAGAATGTTAATAAAATTAAATAATAAAATGAAAATGATTTTTAACAAATTTTTTAATTTAACTCCTACAAAGAGGTATATATATATATATATATTGTCTTATATATATTTTTTACTTTGTTTTATAATTAAGTTGTTATAAAATTATAATTATTGTTTTATAAATGGACCAACTTGGCTATAACTCTTTATCCAAATCCTTGCTCAGGCAAAATTTTAGCCCACCCCTAGTATAATGTCACATTTTTTTTATTTACCCAAAAATACCCTCACATAATTGTCACTTGTAACTAACATGTGTCCTATAAATAATTAAAATTATATTCAAATAAATTTTTTTATTTTAATTGCATACCCATCGAGCGGCCACACACCACTAGTTATATACTACCCAAAATCATTTTCCAACCATTCTAGAACACATATGTGTACAAATTGAAAAAACTATTTTGAATCAAAACTAGAGGCAAAGGTTTGTGTATGTATGACATATTAATGTGAAGTAACTAGAGTTTTGAGATAGATGCATTTTGTAAGAACCCACATTTTTCATCTTAATCATGTTCATGAGCATTTGTATGATTTTGACTTGTTAAGCTTGCATGTGTATGTTATGACTTGTTTCGCTTTAGCAAGTGAGATCCGTGCCTTGATTTGGAGCCTTGTGATTTGTACGGCACCAAACTACTAGGGGCGGTTTGGGGGCGTGACACATTTAGTAGATAGAGAAATATCACCATCAATATGGTTGAAGTAGACAAAGAGAGTAACGACGAGCTCCATGATTTGGCACAAAGATACAGGAGCAAAGAGACGATCGAGGTTGAAAGAATAAAAATCTAACAAGGAAGAACTATCAACGTTGACCGTTTGATAATTTGAGCGAAAAAGAGGAGTCTGAGTGAGAAATAAAGAGATTTGAGGCATAAGTAGGACAAATCGAGGGAAAGAAAATAGAACAGGAAAAAAAGAGAGGGAAAGTTGGGCAAAAAATTTAAGAGGACAATGATTTAGTGGAAAAAATAAAATCACATCTTTCAACATATTTTTTATTAAAATTTAGTCAAATTATTTATATATATGTCTATGTGTGTATATAGATATTTTAAAATATATATTGATTGTATATTACCCTTTCTATTATATTTAGTAGATATATTATGATTAAAATAAATATAAACTAGAGATATGTGATTGAAATTGGTTATGAGATATGTGGTTAGTGGTTCTAAGTTGGTTATGATCAAAGTTGGATGGTTATGAACCAAAATAGAGTTGGTTATGAGATATATGATTAGTGGTTATGAGTGATATTTATTATGAGATGTGGTTATAGATATGTGATGTTGGCTATGATCAAAGTGGTATGATTATGAGTCAAAGCATGTTGGTTATGAGATATGGTTGCGAGATATGTGATTAGTGGTTATGAGCAAAGTGATATGGTTATGAGTCAAAGAGTGTTAGGTAGTGGTTATGAGATATGTGATGTTAGTTATGATCAAAGTGGCGTGGTTATGAGCCAAAAGGTGTTGATTATGAGATATGTGATTAATGATTATAATATATGTGATGTTGGTTATGAGCCAAAGGGTGTTAGTTATGAGATATGCAAATAATGGTTATGAGATATGTGATTTTGGTTATGAGCAAAATAATATAGTTATGAGTCAAATGGTGTTTAGGTGTAAGATATGTGATGTTGGTTTATAATCAAAGTGGTGTAGTTATAAGCCAAAAATTGTTGGTTATGAAATATGTAATTAGTGGTTATGATATATGTGATATTGGTTATGAGCCAAAGGGTGTTAATTATGAATCATGAGATATATGATGATTAGTGATTATAAGATATATGATTTTGATTATGAACAAAGTGGTGTGATTATGAGTCAAAATGTATTTGGTTATGAGATATGTGATATTGATTATGATCAAAGTAGTGTGAGTATGAGTAAAAGGATGTTGGTTATGAGATATGTGACGTTGGTTATGAGTTAAAGGGTGTTGGTTATGAGATGTGGTTATGAGCTATGTGAATAGTGGTTATGAGATATGTGATATTGGTTATGATTAAAGTGGTGTGGTTATGAGCCAAAGGGTGTTGGTTATGAGATATGATTATGAGATATGTGATGGTAGCTCATAACTAAGTTATGATCAATTCGATTCTAGTTATGAACAAGTATGATCTTGGCTCATAACTATAAAGAGTGACCTGTTTACTATGTCACTTTTAATGATGTGGCTTGTACTTGACTAATTTGGTTATATCTTATAAGCTAGCTTATTTTGTACAACCCATCAAAAAGCAATAAAAAAAAACTTATTTCTTACGACAAGTTAACACAAACAAATGATGTGGCTTGTACTTGTCTAATTTGACTATAGCTTAAAAGCTAGCTTATTTTGTACAACCCATCAAAAAGCAATAAAAAAAACTTATCTCTTACGACAAGTTAATAAAAACAAATTAAAGTGTAAAATGATTTTTTGACATTAATTTTACAGAAAACAATCAAAACTTAGAGAGAAATTGAAGAAATCTTTGACTTTTTTAAATGACTTTTTGATTTTTTGATTTTTTTAACAACTTTTTCAACATTTTAAATACTTGCCAAACAGAGCTCAAAATGATAAATATCACAAAGAAGATGCTTACAATTTTGAACCGCTTTGGGCTATAATTACTTGGAAACTTTCTTTGAACTCCTTTAGAAATTGCTAGGGTGTAATCAGCTCGGTTCAGTACGATTAGTGTTGAGAATAAATTTAATAACAAATCGATCTTTTTGGTTTTGATGATTGAAAAACTGATACAGATCATATACTATTGTTCAATTTTATCGATTTTGTGGATTTGATGTAGAAAAGAGATTTGCTTGATGTTTTAAAGGATTTGTAAAAGTTTATAGAATTTTACATTGAAAATAAATGAAGAAAATGTATGAAAGTTGCTTTATAAATATTTCTCACTAGGGTAAACCCGGGATCGCTATAATATTAGTCGCTTATCATATAATGCGCAAAAAACTAAAATATAAAAGTATTTAAATATAATTTTTGATCAATTCAGTTTGCATTAGTATACAAATTTTCAAAACAAAAACAGGCCGTATATTATGAAAAAATGACCGAAAACTAAAATGTCAATCAATTTCAATAAGTTGGTTCATTTTCATCAGTTTTTCTAAGTAACTCTCGCAAATTTTTCTAAATTATTTACGAGTAACTTTTAGAAACCATTTGCCCCTATTTGAATTTGAAGGCGAAAAAAAAAATCATTTCATACCAAGTCATTTATGTGCCTGGGAGAAAGCACAAAGGACAAGCAATATATGCCATTCCAGAAAATGGTCTGCCATTTCACGGAGGTTTGAGAAAAGTTCTCCACAATTTTCCCATGGATTTTAGATCAATTATAAATACGCCCTCTAAAATTTATTTAAAATACAATTTACCCCTTATAATTTTAAAAATTACAAATACTTTTTGTCAGAATTTATCTTTTAATAGAGTTCATAAAAAAAAATTAAAATAAAATCTTAGACTATACTCCTATACAATAATAAAATTACTAGAACTGTTAATCAAAATATATTTCTAACACATCGTTAAAAACTATTAATTAACTTAATAACTAATTAATGAAAGGATTAATTTATTATGCGATTATTAATTTAAAATGATAAGGTGTAATTTCCAAAACTACATAGAATAACTAATATTTTAAACAAATTTTGAGAGTATATTTTAATTTACCCTAGATTTTGCAATTTAAATTATTAGCTCAAGACTTTTGCCTTTCCATCTCTTGCAGGAAAAAATAAAATGTAACAGTAATATCATCTCACATAATATAACATACCAATAAAAAATCACAAGAACTACAAAATCCACAAAGCTTACCTCCCACTAACCCAAGTTGTGGTCTCCACCAAAAAATTAAGGTAGTGTTTGGTAGAATTTTAAAATTATGATTTGAGAATACAATTATATTTTGAGTTTGTGAGTTTTAGAATTATGATTTGAATGTGAAAATTTTATTTAATTATAAATTTTGAAAAGAATTTTGAATTGAGTTTGAAATTTTTGATACGACATATGATATTTGATTCCAAAATTTACAACTCATAATTAAACACAAAACCCAAAATTCTATTCAAAACTCATAAAAAAATTTTAAAAAATTTTGAAAATATTTTTTATTTAAAATATAAAAATAACAGGTGTCAAAAAAATAAATAAAATAAAATAAAATAAAAACACTGTTCTGATCAACCGACCGGACGTCCAGGAGACATCCGGGAGAATGATCGGGTAGATATGTTTTCAAAAGTAGGTGTAGAATCCATGCCAACCGGGGTGGTATAATGCCAACTGGGGTGCTACTTTATTTGTAACATAGGTCAAGGCCAGCTCAAGGTCCAAAAGAAGAGCATATATATGGTTAGTTATTCTCAAAAAAAGGGAAAGGAAAAAAAAAACCCAATTTGTGAAGTTGAGCTACAATTTAGCCGGCCTATCATATATATTCTAGCCAATAAATCTAATCACAGACAACACAAACAAGAAATACCCTGCTCCACATAAAATCCAAATGCTTCACTAATAACAACAATAATCCCATAGAAATGTACAATACAAGAAGCAATGTCAATAATCCAAGAGAAATGTATACAATACTATGTGAGGCAATGTTTCCGAAGGGACAAACTACTATCTAGCAAACAATGACGACTTCACCACATTGCACACTCAAGTTATATGACTGATAGAAATTGAGAAAATTGTAAATTGGCCACGTACAAAAACTCAAACCTTAAGAGAGTACACATCAAAAGAAACACTCTACTGAAGTTGCACAATCTAATGCCATACATCATATTCAGCTTGTGTGGATCTAGTTTTTAAAAAATAGTTTTCAAAAAATTTTACATTTTTATTTTTCGTATTTTAATGTTTTCAATGAATTTTTTAATATTTTAAGCAATTTTTTTTTAATTTTTAGGCACACCTAACATAAATACACTTAAAAAGTATAATATTTATAAAAAAATCTTTAAAAAATACACTAAATACCAAAAAAAATACAAAAATTCAGTACATTTTTCATATTTTTGTGAATTTATTAATTTTTTCACAAATATTTTACTATTTAGATACATCTAAGTAAGATGCATTTAAAAAATAAAAAAAATGCTTAAAATTTTAAAAATATTCACTAAAAACAAAAAAACACACAAAAAAAAAAAAAAACTCAGTTTTCAAAAAACTAAATTCAAAAAACTAAAACCAAAAACACTTCTTACTACAAAAAATTGATCCACTAAACTCACGTTGTAAATGCCTTCTTCACACCAGCAGAAGAACCAGCTGGAATCACTTTCACCACATTAAACCTCAGAGTCTTCAACAATGGCATGCAAAGAGGGACATAATCGTACACGGTTACCAAGAAGTAAGTATTGTTGTAAAAATTGTGTGATTCACTAAAACAAATAGATTCATGATTAACAATTTAAATTTCAAAACAAGAAACATGCTGGAAAAATTATGGAACAAAATTACAATATACTTTTTCAAAATCGATAAAAATCATATGAATGCCTCTTATTTACTTTATATAGCACAATATATAATTATATATATATATAGATATGTATATGCATATAAAAACACCCACATTATGTTAAAAATGAAATAAATATTAATATAATTAAATCATGTATATTTATATACTTAATTTGCATAAATCATATATTAAATTGATCTCTCTGTTGCGGAAATGACATCATTTCATGCAGCAGAAACACACAAATTGTACGATTCGCTCAATTTAAAAGTCAATGGCACGAATTAAATTATTTTGGTTGAAACTTATTGAATCATAAATCGTGAGGTTCTATTCCAGCTCACACATCCCCTTGCTTCCTTGTGAAAGAGGAAGACCATATTATTGGTCAATGCAGGTTTGTCTTGAAGCTCTACTCTTTCATTGAATTTTTGGAGGATATACTTACTTCTTGGTAACCGTGTACGATTATGTCCCTCTTTGCAGGCCATTGTCAAAGACTGAGGTTTAATGTGTTGAAAGTGATTCCAGCTGGTTCTTCTGGTGGTGGGAAAAAGGCATTTACAATGTGAGTTTAGTGGATCAACTTCAATTAGAATGTTTCTTTTGATCTGTACTCTCTTAAGGTTTGAGTTTTTGTATGTCGCCAATTTACAATTTTTTCAATTTGTCAGTCATATAACTCGAGTGTGCAATGTGGTGAAGTTGTCATTGTTTGCTAGCTAGTAGTTTGTCCCTTTGGAAACATTGCCTCACATAGTATACATTTCTGTCGGATTATTGACATTGCTTCTTGTATTATACATTTCTCTGGGATTATTGTTGTTATTAGTGAAGCATTTGGATTTTATGTGGAGCAGGTTATTTCTTGTTTGTGTTGTCTGTGATTAGATTTATTGGCTAGAATATATATGATAGGCCAGCTAAACTGTAAAACTGTTGGTAGTCTAGTGGTAAATTGTAGCTCAACCTCACAAATGGGGTTTTTTTTTTTTCTTCCCCTTTTTCTGAGAACTAACCATATATGCTCTTCTTTTGGACCTTGAGCTGGCCTTGACCTATGTTACAAATAAAGTAGCACCCCGGTTGGCATTGAACCACCTGGACAAGTGTATGGCATCACCTGGATCATGGTATAGGATATATTGTACATTTTTTCATTAATTTTTCCATTTCAGATGAAGGGACATGATTTCAAGGTATTGGTATAAATACCACAGATTTTACCAACAATTATGTTGTCTTGTTCTTTCTATCCATTGTCCTTCTCTTCCATACTTGCTAATAAAATGATCTGAATTCATAATTGGTTTCTGCCACAAAGCCATAATTATCACCATCCACTGAGTAACTTTGCGGGTGTTTGGGAAGTGGTTATTTTAGAGATTTTTTTTGGCTTTTTGGTTATTTTAGTAGGTTATTTTAGTTTTTGTATTTGGGAAGATAGGATGGATTTTTATTTTAGTTGGTGTATTGAAAAATGTGTTGAAATGATATTTGAAGTTAAAATGATAAATTTGTTCCTAACTTTACATTTTTCAAAATTAATTTGAAGGGTTAAAATTGTAATTTAGCTACCTGTCACTGTAACAGTGGTAGGACTGTCACAGTGACAGCTACTACTAGCCTATTTTTTTTTAAAAAAAAAACTTTTGGTTTAGGAGTTTTTAAGCTAAAATTGTTTAGGCTATTTTAGCCCCAAATCTAGGTTTCCATACACCCCCTAATTTTGTGGTGGAGACCACAACTTGGTTGGGTTGGTGGGAGGTAAGCATTTTGGATTTAATAGTTATTGTGATTTTTTATTGGTATGTTATACTACATGAGATGTTATTACTGTTACATTCTATTTTTTCTTGCAAGAGATGGAAAAGCAAAAATCTTGAGCTAATAATTTAAATTGCAAAATGTCGGGTAAATTAAAATATATTCTCAAAATTTGCTTAAAATATTAATTATTCTATGTAGTTTTGGAAATTACATCTTATCATTTTAAATTTATAATCACATAATAAATTAATCCTTTCATTAATTAGTTATTAAGTTAACTAATAGTTTTTAATGATGTGCTAAAAATATATTTTAATTAACAATTTTGATAATTTTATTATTGTATAGGAGTATAATTAAGATTTTTATTTTATTTTTATGAACTCTATTAAAAGATAAATTTTGGCAAAAAAGTATTTGTAATTTTCAAAATTATAGAGGATAAATTGTATTTTAAACAAATTTTAGAGGGTGTATTTATAATTTGTCGTTTGTGCTTTCTCCCAGGCATATAAATGACTTGGTATGAAATGAAATTTTTTTTTTGCCTTCAAATTCAAGCAGGCGCAAATGTTTTCTAAAGCTACTCATAAATAATTTAGAAAAATTGGTGAGAGTTTCTTAGAAAAACTGATGAAAATGAATCAACTTATTGAAATTGATTGAAATTTTAATTTTTGGTCATTTTTTCATAATATAAGGCTTGTTTTAGTTCTGAAGATTTGTATATTGATGCAAACTGAATTGATTGAAAATTATATTTAAATACTTTTGTATTTTAGTTTTTTGAGCATTGTATGATAACTAGTGACTAATATAATATATGTTTGTGATGAAAACTAGTGAAACATTATAAAGCAACTTTCATATATTTTCTTCATATATTTTTAATGTAAAATTCTATGAACTTTTATAAAATCCTTTAAAACATCAAGCAATCCCTCTTTTACATCAAACCCACAAAATCAATAAGATTGAACAATAGTATATGGTTTGCATCAGTTTTTCAATAATCAAAACCAAAAATATCGATTTGTTACTTATTCTCAACAATGACCGTATTGATCCAAACAGATTACACCCCTAGCAATTTCTAAAGGAGTTTAAAGAAAGTTTCCAAGTACTTATAGCCCAAAGCTATTCTAAATTTTAAGCATTTTTCTTGTGATATTTATCATTTTGGGCTCTGTTTGGCTAGTATTTAAAATATTTAAAAAGTTGTTAAAAAATCAAAAAGTCATTTGAAAAAGTCAAAGATTTCTTCAATTTCTCTCTAAGTTTTGATTGTTTTCTATAAAATTAATGTCAAAAAATCATTTTTACACTTTAATTTGTTTTTATTAAGTTGTCGTAAGAGATAAGTTTTTTTTTTTATTGCTTTTTGATGGGTTGTACAAAATAAGCTAGCTTATAAGATATAGGCTCCGTTCGGTGGAGTTTTTTTTTTAAGCTAAAAGTTGATTATCATAAAGTATAAACTAAAGCACCCATATCCCAGCTTTCAAATAATTAGCTTTTTTTTCAGTTTACTTAAACTATTTCTACCTAATAAGCTATAAGCAGAAGCTGCACTAAACAGTCCTACACAAACTCCCAACTCAAAATAAGTAATTATTACCTCCAAAAGCTTTAACAAATAGTCCCATAGTCAAATTAGACAAGTACAAGCAGCATCATTAAAAGTGACTGAGTAAACAGGTTACTTTGTATACTTATGAGCCAAAACCATATTTGTTCATAATTGGAATCAAATTGATCATAACTTTAGTTATGAGCTACCATCACATATTTTATAACCACATCTCATAACCAACACCTTTTGACTCATAACCACACAACTTTGATCATAACCAATATGACATATCTCATAACCACTATCTACATAGCTCGTAATCACATCTCATAACCAACACTCATAGCCAACTTCACATATCTCATAACCAACACCCTTTTACTCATAATTACACCACTTTGATCATAATCAGTATCACATATCTCATAACCAAGTACCTTTTGACTCATAATCACACCACTTTGCTCATAAACAAAATCATATATCTTATAATCACTAATTATCATATATCTCATAACTCATAACTAACACCATTTGGCTCATAACAATATCACATATATCATATCCACTAATCACATATTTCATAACCAACACCTTTTGGCTTATAACTACACCACTTTGATTATAACCAATATCACATATCTCATAACTAAACATCCTTTAACTCATAACTACATTATTTTGCTCATCACCAAAATCACATGTCTCATGATCATTAATCATATATCTCATAACCATCACCTACATATCTGATAGCCAACACGCTTTGGCTCATAACCAATATCACATATATTATAATTATTAATCACATATTTCATAAACAACACATTTTGGCTCATAACCACACTACTTTAATCATAACTAACATCACATATCTCATAACCACTACTCATATATCTCATAATCACATCTTACAACTTACACTCTTTGACTCATAACCACATCACTTTGCTCATAACCACTAATCACATATCTCGTAACCATATCTCATAACCAATACACTTTGACTCATAATCATACCATTTTGATCATAACCAACATCACATATCTTATAACCACATCTCATAACAAATGTCATTCATAACCACTAACCATATATCTCATAACCAGCCCTATTTTGGTTCATAACCACCTAACTTTGATCATAACCAACTTAGAACCACTAACCGCATATCTCATAACCAATTTCGATCACATATCTCTATTTTATATTTATTTTAGTCATAATATCTCTACTGAATATAATAGAAAGGGTAATACACAAACAATATACATTTTAAAACATCTATATACACACATAAACATATATATAAATAATTTGACTAAATTTTAATAAAAAAATACGTTGAAAGGCGTGATTTTATTTTTTTCTAGTAAATCACTGCCCTCTTAAATTTTTTGCCCAACTTTTTCTCTTTTATTTTCCTGTTCTATTTTCTTTCCCTCAATATGTCCTACTTATGTCTCAAATCTCTTTATTTCTCACTCAGACTCCTCTATTTTGCTCAAATTATCAAACAATCAACGTTGATAGTTCTTCCTTGCTGGATTTTTATTCTTTCAACCTCAATCGTCTCTCTACTCCTATATCTTTGTACCAGATCCTTGAGTTTGTCGCTACTCCCTCTGTCTACTTCAATCATATTGATGGTGATATTTCTCTATCTACCAAAATACTTACGTTTGGTGACCATTTCGATGGTTTGGTTGCCACAGATGGTCGGCAATGGTGATTCCGGCGAAGATGGAGACGACAAGGGCGATTTCGGCGAAGAACGGCGCAAGGACAATGAACATCACGATGAGACAATAAGAGGGAAAATAGGGGATTAATGACTAGGGTTTAGGGTTTTGAAAGGTTGAGAGATCTTCTCCATGATTTTCTGGAAGAGAGAGAGAGAGAGAGAGAGAGAGAGAGAGAGAGAGAGAGATTGTTATTTGGTTCAAAGATGATGAACGTGGGTTTTGGCTTGAGGGATTTTTGGTCTTTATATAATGAGTAGGACCTAATGGAATAATCTAAAACATTTTGGGTTGTATAGAATAGAACTCTTAGAAATGGGATTTACTAAAAAAGTTCCCTTTAAATTGATAACATAAAAAATTAATAATTTATTTTATTGTAATACTCAAATCATGGTTTTTTTTTAATTATTACTAAAAAAAATTACTATCAATTTTATCATAATTTTCCCCCCAAATAATTGTCAAAAATTTGGAACAAACACCCGAAATTTTGTCCAAATCAAAATTCCCTCCTATTTTTTTTTTTTGGACAAATCCCTAGACCATTTCTTGGGCCCTAAACATATTGAGAAATTACGCTCTCTCTCTCTCCGGTCTTTGCCGTTGACCATCACCACTCCAAGTAAGTCCCACACCTTTCTCTGTTTTATTTCGGAGCCCTGATTTTAACCCTGTAGGTGTCACTCTCTCTGAAGGGATCCTACACTTCCTACCATCAACTCAACCGCCTTCATTTGGGCATTTTGTTTTGATGACAACATGTAATACTA